TGGGTAATCCACAACCTTCCCTAAGTCTGGGACAGCGTCCACCGACCTGCAGGTTCTTGTCCCTCCACGCTGCTTCTCCAGAAGTTTCAAGCTCATGCCACCAGCGGCAAGGTTTTCGGTGCGATGATGACCCGCTCGCTGAACCAGGCTGCGTAATAACACCATTCCTCAAGGCCGACAGGACCTTGGCCAGGAGGCCATCTCTAAATGCTATGTGTTCGCCGTAGCGAAGCTTGATTTGGCTATCTCGACTCTGGCTCTGGTCGTTGCCTTCTTGTCGGAGTTGATTGGCGACCTGTCCAGATGTGTTGTATCTGCTTAAGTGCGCAGACGCTGACAGTGAGATCCTTGCTGGTGTTCTGCTCGTCACTTATTATTTGTCACGCTGTAATTTATGTGACACTACGTATAAACAGCCGCGCAGGAGAGCCATTTTAGAACCACCAGTAACTTTGTCTAGTTAAGTTCTACTCGTCGTTGTGTTCTGGTTTTCACTCTATCCGTCTCCTAGCAACCAGCAGATGTGCAATCGATTAGTACGCGACAGCCGACATTCCTCGCTGCTGATAACCGTCAAAGGGCGCGGAGCCGACCGTCGCTAATGCTTACGCTATCGGGTTGTTATGGGCACGTTTTTTGACGCCCACCACGCGCGTTGGGCAGATCTGGACTTCAGTACGACACAAACCTTCCTCTCGCCACGCCGATTCAGAACGTATGGGGTTTCGAGGGATCTTTACGCAGGTTACGCAGGTTATGCAGGTTCTAAAGTGCTAACTTGATGTAGGTTATTTCAGCGTGTTTCATTTGAAGCTGACCCAGCTTTACTTTATTTTCAGTCGTCTTGGTCGATATTTTAGCAGATCACTTCGGTGCGCGTACAGCACGGCAAAGCTGGTCACCCCCATATCAGTTAATGGTTTGCACGCGGTGGCGGCGCTCGTTAGTCGGATTGGTTCCAGATTTAATGCGACCACAGGCTGTCTTGTCTGAGAAAGATGGTGGTGGGCTGATGATGTTCACGCAATGACCCAGATTCACTATGGCGCCAGTGTTGGTCAAGGGCTGCCCAGTTGATTTCGAGATGGGACGCACGCCTGGACGTCGCAATGGTTTCGAGACGGGACGTACGCCTGGACGTCGCAATGGTTTCGAGACGGGACGTACGCCTGGACGTCGCAATGGTTTCGAGACGGGACGTACGCCTGGACGTCGCAATGATTTCGAGACGGGACGTACGCCTGGACGTCGCAGTTGGTTTCGAGACGGGACGTGCGCCTGGACGTCGCAATGGTTTCGAGGACGGGGCGTACACCTGGACGTCGCAGTTGGTTTCGAGGCGGGACGTGCGCCTGGATGTCGCAGTTGATTTAGAGGCGGGACGTACGCCTGGACGTCGCAGTTGGTTTCGCGTCGTTATTTGCTCGGATTATTGAGATCTGACTCAATCCTGAAAAACGCCTCGAAACCGTCGAGTCTGTTCTTCACGCACGAGCTCAAGTATGCCACTTGCGCATCGATCCGCATTCTCGCTTGCGCGATTTCCCGTCCTTTTACGCGTTTAAACGTGTTGATCCCGTTTTGCTACGGCCTCCCGTTACCGAGCTGTCGCCACGCGCTTCAGTGAATGACGTCATTTTGCGGATTTCACGCTTCCCATGTTAAACCAATGAGGCATGCCTGCACGCGCCGGCGGCACCCCGCCCGTCGGCTCCGGTCCGAGATTTTAAACATTGACGCATAGTTTGCACGCGCCAATGGTATCCACTTGTTGGATTCGGTTTTCAAACGTAGCGCAACTATACGTGCACGCGGCCTTGGCTGAGAATCACACCAGGTGATACTGGCTAATTACGCTCCACGCAGCACATTCACATTCACATTCACGTGGCCAGCTTGTTGGTCAAGGGCGCACCCATGAGACCAGCAGGCTGGGCCTCTTGCGATCGGCAAAATAGAAAAGCATCCTTGGCACTCTGCTGGCTCAGATGGTAACAGGCCCTGACCAGGTGTATGATTTCTCTTTTGGACATTCTTTTTTTGTATGCTCAGACTTTCCAATTTTCAACATTTTGTTGTTGAATGTAAACTACGCGTTCACAATGCGCACATTTTCGCTTTGGACTCAAATTCGTCTACTTCATATGCATCGGCTATGGCTGCATTCGCACCACAGAAAGCATTATCCCCAACAGACGGAAAATCACGAGGCCGTGTTAGGTTTGCGTAAGAGCGCGGTTGTCCAAACAATTTGAGCCCCTGTGTATTTTCAGCACTACGTCACAAAGAGATAGCAGCTATCTATCTAAAGACCAATGCATGTAATGTCGGAAAGCTCTAAAATTATGCATCTCTAAAAAAGTGCCCCACCTAAAACAATGCACGGATTCCACAGGGAAGTGGTTTCGCAAAATTAGATGGGGGCTGAAGATTTAAAAATGACGAAACCTACCCAAGATGAAGCCAGCAAATGGGTTTCACCAAGGATTTGACCCACTTTGTCGTCAATGTGTAGTGAGCGAAGGAGGGGGGGGGGGGGGGAGGAGCTAGAGCTTCTCTAATTGAAAAGCCAGCTACCCCCTCCCCCTGGATCCCAACACCATTTAATGTTTTGGAACGGGAGTGGGCCCGGTTGAAAAAATAAATTCCGAAGCCCAGTAGAAAACTGCCGGGGTGGAAGAGGGGGAGGCATATGTACGAAAATAAAAGCTGCCGTCCAATACGTCAGTAAGCTCTCGTCGTTACTGCCTTGCCCGGAGTTTCTTGACACCGTCATTGTTGGCTACCTCAAGCCAAATCCGAAGTTCCTGGCGCAGACTGCCTTTGAGAAATGACACGATGCGTAATAAAACTAACCGGTCCATGCCCTGTGCTCGGTAGCGCGTACCCAGCTACGCGCGATAGTCATGCGATGCTGAGGCTGCTGGACGGCGGCCTTGTGTGCACACGTCTTGCGTCTCAGTCGTACACTAGTCGGGTCCGCTTCGCCATGGCTCGGGCTGCCTTATGTCACTCTATACTTCAAAATGGTCTCAGCGCGGATATGTAGCATGCAACATATGTGGGAGAGATGGACGAGCCAACTACGGCGCTCGGCAACACGTGACTACATGTACACAGCGGCAGGTGATCACATGTACACAGGAACGGACGTGGGTGCCAGTGCCATTATATGCTGTTGTCTCGGCAAAAAAATAATGCTTTTCAAAAAATAGATATCACAGAAAATCCGAAAATATCCGCATTTCATGCCAAGCCACTTGTTGGCAGCTGATAGTATTTGCCGATGGAGGCTAGTGGACCAGGACGTTTCGAAGACAGGTCGATTAAGACAGGACTCGATTCAAGAATGCATGAACTATCCCGAGACGAATCAAACGGATTGAAATGACGAACGTCAAGTTATGCTTTCATCACCTGGACTGGATGGGCCATGGAATCGCCGAATATATTGCTGTGAATCAGCTGGATTGTATTCGCAGATGGAGCGATAGATTGAGTAATACTTGAAGCGCTGCATTAAAAGCTGATCCGTCGGATAAGACTGAGTCCTGGGGGCTTAATCCATTAGAAGCACTGATGCCAACATTTCCAGGCGGACCGCGTCAACGTTTGAGAACGGAGTCGTGCCCGGTACGTCCGTCAAGACAGCGACGTGTGTTTGAATGCAAATATAAAGGCGAATACGAAGTCGCCTTGAGAGACGCGCGCCGCCTTGCATTGGGCTGGCACGCTTGGCGATGGGAGGCGCACGTGCCATTTGTAACCAGGTCCGGTACATTCCGAAAACGCGGTAATGCACCTGTCCTTGGCGCAAGTTCAGACGAATGCCACACCTGTACAGCAGCTTTCGAACTGAGATGGGATGATTCTAGTACGGCAAGAAATGTCCCAAACCAAAACCTTAGTAGGACTAAAGCACTCCAGTTCGTCAGCTTAGATGCAACTTTTTCCCTCGATCACTATGCAATTGCATAAGGGACCACCAGGGAACGACAGATGTAGCATGTCCAGGCATGACCAGATTGACGTCCATCGGTCTGGCCGTTGCGTCATGCGCATCCTGACGCAACGGGACCAAATCATGGCTTTGGCGAAGTCGTGATACCCCAAGAACGAATGGCACAGCCAGGCGCACAGCCAGCACACGCCCTTCAACGATGTTTAATGCTTTTTGCTGACACTTCGGGTGGCACTTCTCACTTGATGCATGATATATACATATATATATATATATATATATATATATATATATATATATATATATATGGAGCAGGTTCGACGAGTTTGCGCGAGTTGGCCATAGTTTTGTCCGAACCACCGTGATCGGTTCGTTACGAAATATCCTGCGGTCGCCCTTCGTTGAATTCATGTCTAACTATGATTGTACTGGACATTAAGTAGATCAAACCATAATTCAGTGTGATTTGAATATTGCGTTTGCTTGTAATAACCTGATATTGTCCTATGCCGGACGAAACGTTGCAAACAATTGGGAATTAATGCATCTCACTGAGCCACATAACAGAAAGTGTGTTCGCCAGATCGAAAATTTGAAGAAGTAGATATACACAACAAGCCTATGCTGTCATCTACAACTTTGGAAATACATATATATATATATATATATATATATATATATATGCACATGTATATACTACTTTGGTATATATCATATTTGTACACAGGTTTGGAGCCAAATGTTGCAATTGTTCAGCATCCTTCGCATTACGATGCTTATGGTGATCATTTAGCGAAAAGTCATCATAAGCAGTGAACGTGATTGTGCAGAAAATCTAAACCAATTATGTGTGGCAAATGCGGTGTGTCCCAAATTTCTTTGCGAAGCGGCCATGATCACGGCATTCTTGAGAGCACAGCAGCTGTTCTCCATGGAGCTCACTCGGTTCGTCAACCTACAGCTGTTTCGTCGACCTACAGTCGGTTCGTCACCGCCGCTGACAATAATGTGACGGCCGCCTGGAGGGTGTTGTGCTCACCGAGTCAGCGGTGATGAAGAAGTTCCACGGCAGCAGCGTCCCCATGCCGAGCAGGTAGAATATGAAGTACACGATAGCAGGTCTGGAACACACGAGCACGCGGCGTCAGCCGGCGTGGCCCGGTGTCGTTGTCCGGAGGCGCGTGTCCACCACATATCATGGATGACACCCACTGCCCACGCGCGCCAACACAGCGGCCGTCGCAGGTGCCCCAGTCGACCGGCCGGCTGACGAGCGGACCTGGAGATCTCCTGGCAGCCAGCCGCCGGGGAGATGGCAGCCGGCAGGTGGTCCTGTGCCCGGGGGGAAGGGTGCTCCGCCGCTCCGCTGTGCTCAGGATCGGAGCCGGACGGCTCCGGCTGAGCCGTGGAGTCGGGCTGTCCAGCCGGCCCCACGCGCCCCATCGCGCCGACTCGGTCCGGCGGCACGCGGCGGCCACGCAGCCTCCGGGGCGCTGGCCACGCTGATGACGCTGCGATCGATGCCGTACTCGGACAGCTGAGCCGTAGTAGGCCGGCGTGGGATGAAGCACCCCCCCCCCCCCCTCCCTTCCCCTCCCCCGTCGTCACCGTGGTGCCCGGCCCCGAGGATCTCGCTTCTTCCCCGCCGTCGTGGGGGCTCCGGTATTGAGACGCAGTTCGGCTGCTGCGGTGTCAGCTGCATTCGCTGCCAGTCAAACGTGCCACCAGGCGGCAGCCGGCAAATCTGGCAAGGATGACGGGAGCCCCCACCCCTCCTCCTTCTCCTCCTCCTCCCCCCCCCCCACCCCTCCCCCCACATCTATAACTGTTAAACAATGCCAGCGCTGCGGTGCTGCATGGGAAGAAACGCCATTAAAACTGCGTTTATCCCTCCCCACACACATACATGTGCACATTCGTTTTCTTTTTTAAAAATCCGAGGGCTGTAACCGGGTATCAGATATGCCGTGATAGGTGACATTCAGGGTAACTATGGTGTCTTCATCGTTGGTGTCCAGTAGGAGCAGTTACACAAATGAACAGACTGATTTGTTTCGATACTGGGTGTCAGTGTATCTGATACTGATGCTTCCAGTTGGTTCCATGAAGGCTTTCGTGTACGCGGAAGTGATATGTACGCAGAGGGTCACGTTCTAAACAGAGATGGATTGCAGTGTGATAAGGTGGATGCAGGTAGCTCCACCTTCGACCAAATCATGAACATACCAGAACTTCATGCCTTCAGAGCTGATTAAATCAACAACGCTAACGCTGGCTTTTTCGAGTCCCCATAGGATTACGCAGTGCGTTTGAGAGACAAGGAAGGCGGCTCAAACTCACTGGATATTACTAACTTCAACAATTTTGCAATACCGTGACATGCTTTTGTAACCATCCCTTAGGAGGTGCTTCAAATGCGCATTGAGGCATCCTTCAAAGCTTACCGCAAGCACATTAGAAAGCGTTCAGGCAGACCTACCAGATCATCGCACGAGCTGATCTGCTGACCAGCAGGGCGGTCGCTACCTAAACATCGAGCCCCTCCCCCCTCTGCGAAAAACAACGCCAGAGCTGCCGGTTGTGGCATCCGGAGGCCAAACCTGGCGTCAGCCCCATGCCCGTTTACACAAGACAACATATACAAAACATTCAGGCCGGCGTTTTTGCCGGTAATGACCGTGCGACGCGGAGGGGCGTTTCTCAGTCCTGAGCCAAACTGTGTATCCAGGCGGAAGGTGACGAGCTGCCACTGCAGATGGGCGTGACATCCCCGAAAGCTGACATGACGCAACGTCGGACTCTGTCCTCGGCCACCGTATCGTAGTAAAGTGCTGTGAAAAACCCGAGTCGCTAGATGACAGCCAGCACATACTCCGGGATCAGGCGGAAAACGTCCCTGACCTGGAAAAGTAACGGTTCCCAGCATTGCACCTGAGTGCATGCTGTTCGCCAGAGGCCACTGATCCTAGTTTGCAATAAGATGAATCGAAACGGAGCAAAAAGTGATAATGACGTGACCACTCCACGTTGAAGAACATTAATCTTTTTCGGAACCGACTCGCGAAACAATTATGTAAATTCACTTCACTCGCGCGTTCAAAGCCTTCCGCTTTGCCTGAGAAAGCCCACCTTTTTAGAACCGATTCGTGAACCTACGATAAAACTAATTTGACCACGCGTCATGGCTGTGACCATGGCCATGCGCGGCAGCAATAACACCGACGACCAGGGATGCGGTCCCTGCAACGCAGCACGGCATTGGCCACCGCAGCTGACCAGGCTGAGGGCGGCGGTCATGTGAGAACAGTCATGTCAGGACAAAGGTTGCCGAAAGTATGTTCAAGTATTCCCTCTACCAGGAGCTATATTCTCGTACCAGGAGACTCCCAAGCGCAATCATGAAAGCTGTAGGCATCGGACTCCGTCGTAAACGTCATCGCAGTCCCAAGTACGTCAGCTCGGCGTCCAGGTACGGCACCGACGCGAACCACTCGAAGCCGGTGTATCGGCGGGTGCTCCTGGCCACGCTGCGCTGTTATATCGGTCGCTGGCCGACGCGCGCCGATAGCGACGTCCGCAGAGTCAACTGTTAGAGGCCGACGCGTCCACACCGCACCCGTAATCTCACACAACAGGACGCAGGGACAACACCATGGATATGCTCGACAGTCGGAGGCGCAGCAGCAAATTGCGCAGCGGCCTGGCTGGGATCAACCGAGCTGTCCATTTGCTCTTTAAACGCGAGGTAGTCGAATCGCCAAGCTGGCAAAAGCGACCGAGTGAAGAGAAGTGTCAGGAGTGCAGCTTAAGGCGCTCACAGGCTCACTTGAGCATGTAAAGGGTCACGAAAAGCGTCGTTCCTTGGGCCTGACAGCGGTCCATCTGTCAAGCATCGATCATGAATGGTACACCGCACCCGTTTAGCTGACTGTGAAGATTGATTTCCAGTTTTAACAGGTCGGATGAGCTCCGACGGACTAGGTACATCGGCCTCGACGCAAAGGAAAGCCCTCAAATCATGCGTGTAAGCTGTTTCAGAATATCGAAGGGTAATACAACGGAGAAATAAAGCCCCAATCAGGGCTTTGAGATGGCGCGGTGGTAAGTGCATCCACGCACGCTTCCCACCCAGCTGTAAGGCATACAGTCTTCAGATGTAGGCGGTGCGACAAAAAGCACGTGAATCAGGCTGGTTTCCGCATCTTTCAACTAAAACATTCCGTGAGACATCCTATACACCATGGGTATGTTCTGCGTCCTCTGTATACGTGAAATGTTTCGGTCTGTCCAGCTACTATCATGGACGCCAAGGCCAAACATGCCGGAACCTTGAGGGAGTTCCTCTTTCTGGAAATACCGCGCACATCTGGCTGACGCTTCGCAAAGGGCCTGGGAATCACGAGTTCCCAGCTTTAGCAGTAGATACGATACGTGAAATTCTTCAAATAATTTTCTGGGAAAAACGTGAAATTTCACGGTTTTTGATTCTCGCTTTAAAGGGGGTCTCGTTATATCATGCAGCTCCCGGAGTAGCAGACTTCCACAACGCAGAAACTTCAGCCAAGCCAACCGTCCGAAATTGACTCAAATGCTGGGGCAGGGGAGAATACCAAGATCACGAGGTTTTCTTCCCTCGCCATGCCCATCACACGATAGCAAAATGCTAGGCAGTGCATAGCTTGAGGTTTGGTTACCTTATCATGAGCACTGGCCTAATGGTCTTATGTTCAGCATCAGTCTCACCATTTTCAAAACATGTTCACAAAGAGCTGTTTTGAAGATTCTTCTACGCAAAGCAACACACGCAGGACACAAACTGAACACATATTGGCTGAGCGGACCGTAACGCTAGGTGACGACTAACATACAGCACTGCCGACAAAATACTTTACTCTGTTCCTTCAATCAAACAGAAAAAACAAAGTCTATGTCAGAATTCCGCATGCCACTGTCCCCGGCTGACACTTACGCGTCCGGTTCGCCGGACGTCTCGATCATGGCCTCCACCTCCTTCTCCTTGAGGCGCTGGGCGGAGCCGGCGCCGCTCCTTCCATCGCTGACGGTCTCGTCCTCGGGCGACTCGGCTCCCATGACGTCGGGCTTCGGTCGCGGCTACAGACACGCTGGCGTCGGGCGCGCGCGGAGCCCTCGGCTGCCGGAGCACGAGTGCCGGCGGCGGGGGAGCCTCCGGCGCTCGCCAGAGCTGCGCGCCGCTGACGCCACCGCCGCCCGGCGGCCAGCGTCGGCAGCAGGAGGCGCGCGCCGCCGCCGACTGCCCGGAGGGTAGGTGAAGGTCGAACGACGCGCCCGCGCGACCAACACGGCGCGAACAGTCAGCTGTTGAGGCGGCGCGGTCATTAACCGACCGCGACTCGGTACGATCCTGCACACGTCATCGCTACTGCTAATAGCAATCGGCGAAACAGAAATAACTAGGCATCTGACAATGGACTATACAGCCGGCGGCTACGCATGTCAGTAGATACCCCTCCCCATCACACACTCCGGAAAAATGGCAATATTGCTACGTCGCTGCAAGCAAAGGAGGTAAAAGATGCATCTGCCCGTTCTAAAATCGCCAAAGGTTACGCCAGCGCTGACGCATGCCCAAAGCCACGCATACCTATTGGTGTCTCGTGAGACATTCAGTCCGAGATGATGATTCTTATTTCTAGTATGATTATGTGGTACTAGCATGCACCTATATACAGCATGTTTTGTGTAGGTGAAAATTTGGCTGTCACGCACGCATCCTTTCTCGAAAAGACCGACGACACTACACAACCCTCTGCTTATTCAAACTGCCAGAAACTTTTAACCAACCAATCACAGAAGACACCCGGGTGAGTATATAAATAGATGATAGAGCAGTGTGAAAGAAAAGGCGTATCCATTCCGCTGACAGCATGTTGTGAAAGGCTTAACAGACGTAGTTCGGCGCAAGCGGAAGCAGCACAAATGCCAAAACTGGCCGAAATCTTCCCGCCTTCTACCGATGCTGTTGTTGTCATAGTGGAGTCACGTGGAGCATTCGCATACCGTACAAGTACGTTCATGTACTTACACGCTTCTTGGGTGCACCTATCAAGCTAAGTATACAAGATGATATTTATCAGACGTTCGTTTACTTACCAGCCTATCAATAACGATCGCAATTTCGCCTAACGGCCAACCTAAAAGACAATGCGCAGGAAACGCCGTCACTGCGAGACAAAATGGGACCATCTGGCCAACAGCACGCACGTTTGGCGTCATGGCACCTCCTTTCAGGAAAACCTCCAAGAGACTCGGTATGTCGGTGTGCTGGTGTTGCATCTATGCGTTGAGTCATCACTGCGTCTATGATAAATCACCGAAGTTTTGCTCCATTGTTTTGTTTTTAGAAATTATCTTCTGCGGAACGCCTGTCGCGATTTTACATGACAGGTGGAAGCGAGCAGCAAATGACAATTTTCCCCATAGACTGTATTGGGATCTTTCGACTTAGCCGATATGACGACTACCGCTGAGTCGGGCTCCAGATCTGCCTATTCGAGATCGGCGGGGTCTAAAAATGTTTTGGCGTGTCGCCTGTCGGAATGAAACAAACGTTTGTTCCCATGCTGTCCCACATGCTGAAGACGTGTCCAACAATAAAGCAGCAATAGGTGTTCAGTTTACAGAACTTGAGTTCAAAATCATATGCAAATTAAAGAGCTTAAGCACAGTGCCTAGCGTTGCTGGGCACTGATTTCTAATCAAAGAGCTTTAGCACAGTCTCCTCTTTCACCAAAGTCCAAACTCCGTCGCCGAACATTGTTGTTTGTCAATGACCGGGTTGCTGAGTTATCAATATCTTAGTAATTTGTAGCCCGTACATTTGCCTAACGCCGTGCATTTTGTCTTGCGACCTGCGTCATCCGCTCTAGTTGTTGAGACCCGACAGAAACTTCCTAAGAACGGCCACCAATGCACGTGAGCCAAATTGCCCTCAAAGGTGGGGTCAATGCAGTGAGTGAAGATGAATTGCTAAAAAATTGTGTTTGAGACCACTTTCCTAGGCAGAATCAAAATTTGCACGCAATTTGTATCGCAAATGTTGAACTACTGACGTTTTAAAAGGTCAGGTTTACGCCATTGACCTAGCATGATATCTCTGCTAATTTACTTTTGAGTAAATTGCGCGTGCATAATATTTTTACGCGCTGAATTTGAGTTAAGCAATATTCCCAAACTACTGACGATCAAAATCATCACATGGTTTATGTTGACCGGGCATAATAGACCAATCAAATATGCATGCTCATTCTTACTCGTCTAGTCGGAGTCAGCGTCGTTGCCATCGTATTTAAGTATATATGACGAGGCTCCGGGAGGGTCTTGTAGAAGGGCGAGTGCCTTTTTCGACAGCGCTCTCTTGCCCCTGGTAGCCCTCTGAGTCCGTGCAATGATCGCCTGCGAGTTGATCACAGGGTCACTATTGACCAGTAGGCGTCCGAACTGGTGGGCGATGTTATGCAGGCGACAGCCTTTTCTAGCGTGTCCCACACGGCACGCCCGTAAATCCCTATTGCGAGACTATTGTGCCTCCTCACTGAAGAGTCCGAGTGGCAATGACAGTGCGTCAATGACAGCCGCTCCATGGGGAACTTCTCGGTGCACAGACACGGGGATCGGATACCACGGATACATATACACATATAGTTTGGCTGGTTCAAGGTAGTAGGCACCGAAATTCTCAACGTCTATTTGATTTCCGGATGCCATGGCTTTCAGGACAGCATGTAGGTGTCGGATTAGGTACTCGTCGACCAGATGATCTCAGCGAAGGTCGCTTCCTCTGCGAAGGCCAGCCGGGCTGTGTTGCCGTCGCTTGACAAGCCGCTTCTTCCAACTCTCGGCTGGTCTGCATGAAGACGAAGCCTCTCCCAAAACGCTGCTGGCACTGTTTTCTCCTTCTCTTGCATATGTTCCTTTTAAAGCCTTTTGACCTGATCTGCCTCTTCTGTAGGTCAAGGCGGCAGCTCATGTGGAATATGCACTCGAAAACCGGATCCAGGAGTGCATAGCGCTGAGACCCAATTGCAAGTGGCCTTTGTCGACTGCAAGTTACCGGACATACTGGAGATCGCACACCTTTTTGGCGTTACCTTGCAGAGTGGACATCGTTGCATTGAGGCGGTCTCCATCCACCCGTGCGCCGACCACGGGTGGATGAAGCTGAGAGCTCTTCCAGCAAGACTTCTGTCTTCAGCCACTCCTCGTTTGCCGACAGAAACCTCGCCGTGTGCCTGTTCGATTTCACCCATCCTTTCTTTCACTTTATTATAGATGTTTTCATTAGCTGCGTGCATCGCTCCAGCTTTTTGACACTGATACCAAGGCCTTCGAAGTAGGTTTTTCCTTTTCTGACTGTCACAGCGCTGAATCCATTGTTAAAGGGGTTGTTCCCCATTTGAAGTTGCTGAGGTAAGCATCATATATGATAGATAGAATCAACTGTAGTGAAACCGATGTTTGCCACCAAGTTTACTAAGATATCCTGCAAGTTTGGCAACGAAGGTGAGTTATTTTAATTATGAAGAAGCGCAAACTTGAATTGTCCAATGCGTGAATGGCGCATGGAATGGGCGAATATCATCTCATATCAAGCCATGGATTGGGTGAATTTTGTATCATGTCCAAGTAGTATCGGTGTGACTTATGGAAAAAATTGTGCGATAAAATTATCCGGTTTCTGAGCTACACCGTCTCCAAGATGTGCAGACCATTTTGCGCAGCCTATTCCAAGGCCATTCAGGAATGCTGATGCCGCAGTCATTCAAGTCTTGCCATCCCACAGTTCAGGTATCATTCAAGGCCAGTCCAAGCCTAAGTACTAAGATACACGCGCTAAAGGCCTAATTTTCACAGAGCTGTGAATCTCTTCCTATCTGGGCAGTTTTGACGAACCTGCATCAAACAAAATATTGTTTCATTTTCTTGACCCGATCCATTGGCCAGTTTTTGTCTAGAAAAGGGAAACTCCCACGGCGCACCAGTTCAAAGTTTTTTGCACGGTACGCTGCAAATTTTCCGACTTTCGCGATCCAGTCACTTGGTGTCAGTAGATCAGTGAGTACCGTGCTGGATTCATAATCCAAGGTTATGTTTTCGTAGCCGGGCGCTCTAGAACTTTCCCAAGTGTCCCCTATAAGGTATGTTTAATTGCTTGCTATCAACCAATATATGTCTTCAATGTTATATAGCGCACAGCTCCTTCAGTTTTTTTTCTTCAAAAATTCTGGGCACAACATTCCTTTAAATTTCAAATGCCTTCACTATTGTGGTACCTGCGCAATGCTGCCTTCAGTTACCAACTGCGAAATATTTGATGTAAACTGGATTTCTAGCTTGCATCGCAAATATAGTATATTTCTAGTTCCATACCGCTGTTTTATACTAAACTTCCTTCCTTCCGGTATCTAGTGCCCTGATTCAAGGCAGAAAGAATATGATTGTCCGGCAGCTCAGATCTGGCGTCCGTGAGCGCAAGTTCCAAATATAGTGGATGTCACCTGACTTTCAAACAGTGATGAGCAAGCTGTGCAAGCTTTTCAATCATAAAGCACGCTTTGTGCTACATAATATTGGAAACTGGACGTGGGCCCTTCACTTGTTAGTTATTGCGGAAATATGACTTATAAGCGAATAACATAAGAATAAGCCATGACCGAGTCCGTGAATTTGACCGAGCGTCCGAGTTTGTGTAAGTTAACACCGTAAACGTACGAAAAAGTATGCAAGAACACGACGAGAAAGGCCAAACACGAGTATGTAACCACATTTGGATCAGCGAGCGTTCCCAACCGGTGTTGCCGTCTCTCGACAGGGTTACATTACAACAAGTAAGTGGCAACTTCGCACGGCTAATTTGGCAGCACCTCAACCGGGAGCGAATCCAGGATTCTGTCAGGGGGGTGGGGGCACACGCAACGTTGTGGGGGTCCTTAGAGTTTGGACCCTCTAAAAATATCCTCGCATTCGGAGCATTAAATTCTGAAATAAATGCTAAATAGTATATATATATATATATATATATATATATATATATATATACATATATAAACATAAAGTAAATATGAGAGCCCACCGTATTGTGTTAAGGCTGGGCATGTTATGCATGCACATGCATGGAGCTCGTTCATTTTCTCCAGGTC